GGGGAGGGATGGTCTTCTGGGCAAAATAATGGCACCTGGGTACCTGCCACTGTCATGTAACAGAGGTCATAAAACTTGCACTAGGAGCTGATTCTGTGAGCTGGAATGGGAGCAGCTGCAATGCTGGCATTAGGACCCTGAGGATGGTTAGGATTTGGGGACATTTTTTCTTTCTCTCGGGCAGCAGATACATTAAAAAAGTCCAACACTGCAGAGCTCAGGGGATCCGCCCCTGGCGAGAGAAGTGGCCTGTACATGTAGGGCAGTGCCACCAGCTGGATTAGAATTGCTTCTTCTTTCTTCCTCCGGTCCTCTGCAAGCTGCCTCTTCCCCTTCAATGGGGTTTACATCTAAGTTTGAGTTCCATTGATTTCAAGCAGAATTTGACAAACCTGCAACTCAAAGCATCCCTAATTATCACAGGGTCTCTAAAAAAATTTGCTGGAATAGCTACTAAGAGGTCAGTTCTTTTGTTGGTAGGCATGTTGCCAGAGCTACACCTCCCAAGATCCTTTTCCCTACATACAGTGTTTAGGCAGGCTCTTGGGAGTCAAGGCAGCAGCATTGTTTTTCTGTGAAAAAAATTAGTGTATGCATATGAAGAGGGACAAAGAGATCCAGCAGCAGGGCTGACAGTGCTACTTGGGAATTCAGTGGAACAAAGGCACTATGTTGTCACCCAAACAGGAAGTTAGGAGTACACTAAATGTTTGGCAGTTTAGCTTGCTTTTTTATTTTGGCTAGACATACACTTGGTAGTATAACTCCAACCAATTTGTTTTCTTTTGCATAGAGTAGTAAAGGGTAAAAACCTCTCGGGTTTTATTTGCTGTCTGAGGCCTCACTGGCAACATTATGCTTCCTATCCCAGTGACAGCATTATCAACTGGACAGCAAATAAGGCACAATTTTCAACTGGACGATTCTTCTTCAAATCCTCTTGTATACTAAAAACTGTGTTATTGTTGTCTGTGTTTATCTCGGAGATTTCTCCTCACATCTGACACTTCCCCACTCTCCAAAACTGACTTATGGTTTTTGCTGGGAAACCAATGCATGGCCACCAACAAAATGAACAACGTCTCTGCAGCATTCTATTTAATGCAGCGCATTACACTGCATGTCATTTGTGCAGCAGGCTGCTGTACTTTGCATTAGGGCACAGTTTTAAATAATTGTATTCATTATTGTTTGTTAACATGCTTTGCAGTAATGCATAGGTGTGAGACCATCCTAGAATACACTGAGTGGCCAGATTATTATGACCACCCCACCAGTACTTCGTTGGACCACCTTTTGCCTTCAATACTGCGGCGATTCTTCTTGGCATTGACTCCACGAGATGTTGAAAGGTGATGCGAGGAATCGGACACCATGCCTGATGAATAGCACTGTCCAGTTCTGTGATATTTGATGGTTGTGGAACCAGCTGCCTGATGGCTCTTTCAACTTCGTCCCACAAATGCCTAATTGGATTGAGATCTGGTGATTGTGGGGGCCACCTAAGCAAGGTAAAGTCTCCCTCATGTTCTTGAAACCACTCCTGCGCAATACGAGCACCGTGGCATGGCGCATTGTCTTGTTGGAAGAAGCCATCTCCATTGGGATACGCCATCAACATGATAGGATGAACTTGATCAGCAACGATACTTTGGTATGTTGTGCTATTCAGTGTTCCACACGAATTAAAGGGCCCAAATCATGCCAGGAAAACATGCCCCAAACCATAACACTGCCCCCACCAGCTTGAAGAGTTGTACTCATGCATGTGGGGTGCATGCTTTCATGCTGTTTCCCGCCAAATTATCACTCTGCCATCTGCATGATGCAACTGGAAACGTGATTCATCGGTTCACATGACTTTTTTCCAATGCTCACATGTCCAATCCTTGTTTTCCTGTGCGAATTGGAGACGTTTTATCTTGTTAACTGCAGATAGCAAAGGTGTTCGAACAGACCTTTGGCTTCCATATCCCATACGATGCAGTGTACGGCGAACAGTGAGTTCAGAGATAATTTGAGAGGATCCCTGATTAAGATCTGCAGTCATTTGATGCACTGTTGCCCTTCTGTTGTCTTGTACCAGTCTTGCCACTCTCTGTTCTGCCCTAACATTGACTAGTCGCTGACGGCCACAATTCGCACGTTCAGACCCAGATTTTCGGCCCACAGTCCAGTCTTTAAACACTTTAACAACAGTTGCTCTTGAACATTTAACGAATTCTGCTGTTTTGCTGATACTCGCTCCATGGCTCCGAGCGCCAACAATCATCCCACTTTCAAAGGCTGTTCTTTACCTGTATCTTCAGAAAAAAATCACTTCTACTGTCGTGGTAAACAACCTGTTTCCCTATTTATAATAGGCTGGCCCTCTAGCAACTTCAGCGCGAAATTCTAGCTAATTATAGCTAATTTGCCTACAAACATCAGGTGGTCATAATAATCTGGCCACTCAGTGTATATGCACTTGGATGTGTTGCTTTGGAAGCTGGTGTTACATTTAACCAAGAAGACTATAGTAAAGGGTAAATGACTTTGGTTAGCACAATAAGCACCCACCCAAATTGCTAACTGTATACTGTACCTTAGAAACAGGAATAGAAAGGGGCACAGAGCAGGGCACAGAGCAGGGAACAAAGTCTTTTACTTTTCTAAAAGTGATGCATCCTGCTTCGCTGCCCTTGGGCTTGAACCATAAAAAAACAAGTCAGCAAAGGCAGAGCCCATATTTCTATTATCAAATGTTACCATTCAGTTACATTTTTTTAATATTAGGAGCATGGTAATTTTTACTCTTCTATTGGAACAGACATTGCATTCAGGCAGATTGTTAGATTAGTGCAAAAGGTTAACAGAAACAGAGTACAGGTCTTAGAATAAAAAGTTTATTGTTGGAATGGGGTGGTAAGTAGTCAATTAAGAATCTCACCACATCAAAACTGTGGCTTAAGCTGACTTGTGGTTTTGACGCTGTGATAAAAGGTGTCTTGCCAAAGTTGCCTTCCAGGCAAACCGCATCAAGACTGCAGAATGCATTTTTGTGTGCTGTTGCAGTATCAGTAGCTCAGGAACTCAATAAAAAGTCCAAGTTAGAAATTGAGCCATTACTAAATCACAAAGTTAGACAATAGGCCAAGTATGAGCAGTATTTAGTGAGTTTAAATTGGCTGTGCTATTTCTAGTAAATTTACTGCACTTTTAGGGCTTCACAATTAGGGGCGCGAACAGCCAGCCCAACGCCCTGATAGTTTGTGTGTTCGCCGAACACACAACCTAGCGATGTTCGAGCAGAACTCTTGGTCGACTCGAACATCGAGCACAACACTAATCAGCAGTCCTGTTACATAGAGTGAGTCACATGATCCTCTATACCTGGAAGTACCAGATTTTTTTTCTGTCCTCCCAGCAGCTAAACTAAGCAGCAGGTTAGTAAAGAAAAGTGAGCATGTGTTGTTGATGAGGGGGGCAATAAAGCAAATGTGTTCCTTTGACTTGCATGTGCAAATAATAAGTTAGTTTTCAAGAACGTATGCTATTTGTTGTCACTTGGTAATGTAAATAAGAAAAAAAAAAACCTGCTAGCAAACGAGCTTGCACTAGCAAACATACATAATTGCGAGGGAAAAAAAATCTAGGAAAGCCTTTGCGATCACACCTAGTAAATGTCGCTGGAAATGAGGACACTGGATTGTCCAGCTGGTGGTGTGAGCTCGTGCACTAACACACCTGGCTCTGTGCTGCCTAAGCTGCTATGCCAAGTGTGTGCTTTTAAATGCTAACAATGGCTGCCTAGCCAAGGCTTGTTGTTGTGAGACATGAACCCTGGCACACACCTTTCTTTGTGTACAAAATGAAAAACAATTTGATCCTTGAGCAGCTCCCCGGATGTATCTCATGTACCCCGCCTAGTGAGAGTATGTTATTTTGGTTTGCATAGCCAAGGTGTCTTTTACACCTGGAGGCTGTGTTTGCTCATAGAAGCTGTTAACAAAGGTCACACGGGTTGTCGTACCAACTGGATTCCTATGGGAACCATTGCAGAGCTCTGAATGCTATGTTGTCTTAACTGTATTTGTCTTCCTGCTTTGTTTGTGTCTTGTGTATTTTTGGTATCTCAATAGAGTGTGTTCAGGAAACCGCACCTGCTTATGATTTCCATGGCTTAGCTTGAGCAGATGAAGTCATCTAGGGCACCATCTCCAGACTGTAGCAACTTGTCTGTAGCTAGATCTTAACCGAAACTTGGAGTGTACTTCTGTATAAACATCTATATAAACTTTGCTATATTGTGAAAAAGTCTGGGATTAAAATATACGCCAACCATTAATAAATAAAACATTTTTTTGATAGAGTGTGAAAAGGGTGGGTTCTTTTTTTCTAGTTTTTATGCTGTCTATGTTTCTAGTGGGGAAATCCACCACAATTGTCACCCGGACAAAAAAGGATGGGAAATCTATACTTTTACGGTTGATGGGAAATGGTTCAATAAGGACGCCTTTTCCAGTGACACCTGTTAAAGGGAATTTCCTCTTACTTAATTCACTCTCATTACATGTTGTGCGGACCAGGAAATGTGGGGAAATCTCCCCAATGGGCCAAAAAAACAAAAACTGATAGGTTTTTCCAACCATTCCCTACTCTAAATTTAAAAAACAAAATGTCAAAAGATACACTTTGAAGCATTAGTGTAGGACTATGAAAGCTGACGTTTCTGACTTGTTTTTGAAAGTCAAACAACTACTTGCTAATCAATGACTTACCAGGTAATAAGGGATGGATAAGGATGAGCTGGCCCATAGACACTAGGGATTGGTTGGACACTAGACATGTAAGATTCGTTTCATTCTGAATTGAAATTCGGACTTATATCGGCATATTCAGACGTTCGAATGGATCAGAATTTCCTAATGGATAAAATAACCAATTTAAACTAATACAAATTTTGCAGTACCAAAAATTCAGATGCATCAAAATTTTCTAAAATGAACTGAAAGGTGTTAGACAATCCCCCCCCCAAAATAAGTGTGTGGTCCCCCTCAAAATTCATACCAGGCCGTTAGGGTAAAAAACAAAACGTGGGGTACCCCCCCAAACTCCCTTACCAGACCCTTACACGGCTCAACATTGGGGGGATGCTTTGCCAGGGAGGGATTTTCCATCTTTATGAAAGGAGGCACCATGATTCAAATCCCCCCTGCCTGCCGGCCCCCTTCAATCACTGAGCCAGGGTTGTGAGTCCTTGTCCTCATCAACATAGGGATAAGATGCTTTGCCAGGGACACCCCCAGCAAAGCATCCTCCCTATGTTGATGGCATGTGGCCTGGTATTGTGCAGTAGGGGGGCCACGTGGTTGTCCCTCCATTTCCTGATTTGCCAAGGGTGTGGTAGGAGATTTTAGGGGTATCCCATGCTTTTTTTGTGGTGATTGTGCCATAAATATCGGATCCATCAGAAATCCGAATAACGAATATCAGACTGATCCGAATTTCACATCCAATAACGAAAACGAAAAAAAAAGAAATTTGATACAGGAGATTGTTACCTAATGGCACTTTTGACCAAGACCTTGTATCATGTACAGAATACAGCAGATCTATATGATATGTAGAGAATAACACAATTCAGGATCTAAACTAGTTTTGGCCTCTTTCTCTAATTGATCCCACAGACAGATTGGATTTAGGACTACTAATTTCTGCCACCAAGGCCAACTGTTTTTTGATGGACCAGTCCCCTCATCCTTGCATTAACAAGATGAAAGTCATAGACATAATACACCCCAAGCCTGTGGATGGAGAGACTAAAACAGATGGTATGTCAAGTCTGCTTATGTACACCTAGAATGGACAACTAGAAGAGTAGGGCATACTGTAACTCTACTCTGCTAGCAGTCTGGGTCTAGGCTTACCTACTAAATTATTTTCTACTCACAAAAATGCACAAACTGCCAAGATATGAACATAAAGGACCCATCCAGTTTATAATTGCAGGCATGGCAAGATGATGTGTGGAAGACTACATTCCACACCTCGTGTCCTTGCTACCCAAGGCTATGGCTTATGTTGGGTATGTAGAAATCCAGTCTTGTTTAGGCACCCTTAAAGTGTTCTTTAGAAAGATACTGATAAATATGAGAAGACGGTCACTTCTAATAGTTTACACTTATTTATAATAGCAAATAAGAAAGCCCTATGTCTATATTTTAAGCTTTAGCTGAAAAAGAGGAACTTTAGGCAGCAAAGTCACTCTTTCATTCAAACACATTTTCAGAATAAAATCAGCAGGGTTCGGAAACAGCGCACAAAACTTCCTGTGTTATCTCAAGGAGTCTAATTAGTCTTCCTAGTTCTTATCTTAGGACTACAGATCAATTAATGCTTATGTTGTGAAGATGAAAAGAAGGGGCACGATTTATTAGTATAGCAAAAAACAACTGGGCAGGGATGACCCCATTCAGTCCATAAAAACAGTGTGTGTTGTCAGCCCACATCAGAACTTAGGAACATGATTCTTTCTGTACTTGCAGAATATTTAGAGGAATAAAAATGGGGAAATATGTATGTATTGCAGAGATGTACTGCATCTTTTTTTTTTCCCTCTGACAAATGGCAAGAGAATATGTACCTTTTCTTACCCAAAAGGGAATGGTTGTTTTTCTTATCAAAAGAGAAATGATTGAACTGGCCTGAGGAGCCTACAGTGTGACTCTAGATGTAGAACTTGCAGAAGCACATTTCTCATCAATACAACTCAAGCCTCACATACTGTGATAGGATTAAGTCACATGTCTAATTTGCAGTGACTTTGGCTGGTAACAAGTGTGGAAGTTATGGATGTAGTGCAGTGAAGTGACAAATGTTCAGTCAGGGTTCTCTTGAAGGCTATGAGGCAAAAGTATACATTGTTTTTCTGGTTAGCAATCCATGATACTTCATGGAGACTGTAGCAACAAGCCCCCTGTGAAGTCCTTCTTAAACCCATTAGGGCAAGGTAGGCATGCTTGACTTACTGATTTCAAAGAAACAGAGCTGTTTCCACACAAGGATTAAAAGAGTGAAGTTGTTAAAATTAATTTTTATCTTACACCTACATGAGCAGTTCTGTGACTTTCCTTACAATAAGTCAAGATCCCTGGTATGCTACCAATTTATATACTACTGGGAATCAGTAGTTCAGTATGGTTTGTAATGGAAAGTGTGAGTATGTAACGGTTCCTATAAATGTAGCCTATAAATGGGCCTTGGTGAGCACAGCAAGGATATTGGACATGATTATTTCTTAGAAGAACTTAGAGCCTGTTGGTCATACCAACCTCAATAATCTCCAACCATATCCAATGAGTCTCATTGGAAATGACCCATGTAAGAGTATTAGCCTATGGAGTCACTTATCAAGGAAACCTTCTCACATCTCAGTCATCTCTGTTGCTTCACAACATATCCAATTTTCTAACAATGTCTGGTATTAGTCATCCCCTGGCTCTCACCACATGATGCAGAATCTTTTAATTGGTAAATGAATGCTCCATGGACCACATTCTCACAATAATTTGCAGTTCTTTCAGTATTTATGGATAGTTACTGAACTCAAAGTGACCGAATAAAGTTACCAACTGAGAATGTGCACCTGACAGTTAAAGGAATTGCATTGTTCTTATAGGATCTCATTCCAGCAAGTTAGATTGCTCAGTGAGTGCTTCCCCGGGGCAGTGTTAGAAGAATTTGTCCCAAAAAACGACAGTGAATTTCTTGACTTGTGATTGTGCCTAAGCAATTCAAGTAGTACTGTATTGAAAAAAACTGCCACTGTTCATATCTCTTATTCCAGTGATTATGGCTACATTACTTAAAGGAGAACTATGAGGTGAGTGCTTTTCACTCACCTCATAGTTCTAGCCGACCTGTGACAATGAGACTGTCACAGGTCGGCTCAGTAGATCGGGAGGTGAGCGAACACATACCGGCGTTCGCTCACCTCTCGATCCTGTCACGGCTGGATTCCACCCTCCCCGCTCCGATCCGCCAGCGTTGACTGGTGGATCGGACAGTTCTAGAGTGACAATGCCATTCCTCCATAGAAACAGTATGATGAGTGAACATTGTTCCACTAGAACAGGAAGAATGTTACTGGCAGGATCACCAGGTACAAAATAAAGGAAAAATACCTGAAAGGAGAAATCTAATGCAGCATCAGATCTGCACAACACAGCCTCACCACATCTAAATAATGGTAAGCTGCAATATATTACATTTTTGATTTTTTGGCTTAGATATGCTTTATTACCTGCTATGAGTACACAGGAACTCCAAAACCTGCGTAAGCCTACTTTGTTCATCTCCTTGCTGGAAACTGAGGCTGCTTATCAATTTAAAGGACCAATTATGAAGTTGCAGGGGGATGGCCTGTTCACACAATCTCCAGACCAGGACATTTTTTTATCTGCACCAAAAATGCATACACAGTAATTACAATGGTCTTAAATGAGGCTAGGTTACACCATTGCGTTAAGTTATAGAGCATTTTGAAAGTACAGCATGCTGCATTTTTTCACACTGGAACGCACAGAAATGTATGTAAGCGCAACAGAACATACTGGAACGCTCAAGCAAAACCAATTTAAAAAAGCACCATCAGAAACGTGCATAAATACAGACTGGTATGAAGCTGGTGTGAACAAGCCCTAAAGAAGGTCACAATTTGCATATCAGCGGACCCTTGATTTTAGTAGTACTTGGCTGATTGAGCAGGTAATAAAAGATACATGTAAGCCTCAGGCAGCACATTGGCTTAAAGGTTAGTTCTTATGGCTTGCAGCACTGGGGTTGCTGGTTTGAAGCTCAACTAAGGCACTATCTGCATGTAGTTTGCATGTTTTCCCTGTGCCTATATGGATTTCCTCTGGTTACTGTGGTTTCTTCCCACATTCCAAAGACATGCTGGTAGGTACCATCAAAATTGGCCCTAGTATGTGTATATAAATTGGCATGCACAGTGCATATGTGTTATCATATTTAAGACTGTGTAAATGGTGAGGGCTGAGGAAAGAGCTGGTGACCTACCTCATAGAAAACCCACTAAAAAGGTTCTATGGAAAAGTTTCTCAAGTGTATCACACATGGTACCCAGAGAGCTGGCCCACAGAATTACAGAAAGTCAGTTACAACTGAATGTATATCACACATACACAAGCCACAGAGTGCCTGCACTTCATTTAGATTGCTATTCCAGATTTGTTTGCAATGGAAGGGGTCGCTGTAACACCATGCTCCATATAGAGTGGTAGTTTGGTCACTTTAATATTGCTTGAAAACGACACTGAATGGAATTTATCAAAATTAGAGCAGACAAAATCTGGAGCAGCTGTGCATGGCAACCAATCAGCCTCTCTCTTTCATTTTCAAATCCTAAAGGTGCCCATACAGTGCACAATTCTCGTACGAGAATTGCTGGAAATCCCGCGATCGTACAAGAATCGTGCAGCGTGAATGAAGACGTGCGACCGTTTCTACTGTGCGGTCGCACGTCTTTTGTCTAAGGAGCACGCTAGAAAACCAGCCGAAAATGGTTTGAATGATGCTCGGGAGACAAATGCCGAACGGGCCGGTGTGCGCACACTGCCCGTTCAGCATTGCAGTCATCGGAAGCCCGCCCCCCTGAGGGTGATGATCGCAAGCACGATCTGCCTGTCCAAGATGGGCAGATCGTACTTTTTTTAATTACTTTACAACCATCGCATGACTAAGGTCTTGCGATGGTTGTAAAGTGTATGGCCACCTTAACTGATCAAACTGAAGAGAGAAGCTGATTGGTTGCCATGCACAGCTGCTCCAGGTTTTGTCTGCTCCAGTTTTAATAAATCCAGCCCCAATGTATATGCTTGAGTTCCTTAGTAAAACCATTGCAATTATATCAGTGCTTACACAGACCAACGTTTTATTTCTGATTACTGGCTCTTATTTTTTTATGTATTTTTGGGTTTATTGAGAATTCATCATTGCATGATAGGCAGACTTTAGATCATGAAGCTAACAAGACATGATGCACACTGTACAAAATGTTAGAGTTTATCGAAATGTCTATCAGTATTCAAACATAGCTGGCGGAAGTGTGAGTGTTCATATCAGAGTGTTACCTATTACCGTATTTATTCACAAACATTCATCAGTCACATGGTTTTGTTTAATCATATCCTCACTGGTACAAAGGAAAAAGCACTCCATTACCAAGGAACCACAATAGTCCTCCCAGCTGATTGTACATCTAATATTCAATAATGAGATCTCACCATTTAAAGGTACACCCACATCAAAATTTAAAATGAATCCCAAACTCCAGCCTCACCGTTAGATGGGTTTAAGGCTTGGGTCACACCGTCACACCTAGATATTTTTGATCAGTTGGAAAAGCGCTTTCAAACGCCCAACCCAAGAAATCCCATGATTTTCAATGGCCCCTGTACACACCTGAGCAGTAAAACGGCAGCAGGAAAATGCCAAACGCCCGAAAAGGTACATGAGCTACTTTGGGTGGTTAACAGCGTGTTTTTCCTACCATAGACTTAAAGGAGAACTATGGGGTCAGTGTTTTTCCCCATAGTTCTCCTTAGGGTAACGGGAGGACACAAACTAGCGTCCTCCAGGAAACACCATTAAACATGCGGCAGAAGCATGTTGCACATTGTCATGCGTGGTTTTTGTGAGTTTGTACACGCGTTCATTCATTGGCCGCAATGTTTCTTAAGCTGCCAGTCAAAACGTGTGTTCTCATGTACGCGCTTTTTCACAAGCGTCAAAACGCGCATAAACACACAAATAGTGGTGTGAACCCAGCCTTAAACTTTAAAATGCACAAAGGGAAGATGAACCATCTACTCACTTGTTTAGTTAGTGCACCTGTTCACCCCAATTCCATTTGTTCATAATCTTATAATCCTCAAATGTGACTGGTTGTGACCCTGGACCACTCACTGCAAATTCCTTTAAAGAGACTCTGCCACCTTGACAGTATCATTGCAATGGCCAGTTTCAATGCAATGGGACCCCTTGACCCACTGATACTCACCTTGCCAGCTAGCAGTGCAGACACACCCTTGGACACACCCCTGACGTCACATGACATCAAAAAAACCAAACAGCTGTGAACAATGGAGTCATTAGAAAGACAAGCTTCTATTCACCAATTTCAAGTCAAGAAGCCCCAATTTCAAGTGAAAGAAATTGGTGAATAGAAGCTTGTCTTTCTAATGACTCCATTGTTCACAGCTGTTTGGTTTTTTGACGTCATGTGACGTCAGGGGTGTGTCCAAGGGTGTGTCTGCACTGCTTTATGTCTATTTAAACCCTCTCTGTTCTTATCATTGTGTCATTGCTATGCCTGATGAAGGGACCCTGTGTGGCCCCGAAAGCGCTTGTGTAACTGACATGAGTTTGCAATAAAATCTACGAACTTTGATCCTATAAGGATTTGGTGTGCTGGTGACGTTTCTGCAATTATGGGGAGCATGTGACCTCATACCATGTGACACTGAGTCTGACAGTCAATTACTAGGCCCTAACTCTGACAGGACAGAAGGAGTATTGCTGCTCCCCTGGGTATGTTTGTGCCAGCTGCAATGCAGGAAGGAACTGTGGGGGAACGCTGGCAAGGTGAGTATTATTGGGTTAAAGGGGCTCCTTTGCACTATCAATTTGATACTATTACAAGGGGACTGTATTATTTTTTTTCTTAAATCCAATATGAATACGTTTCTCTCAGCCACCAATCAGGTTCAGAGCTGCCTTTGACGTTTGAATGATTGATGATAAAACTTTTTTTTTTAATCTTGGATTAAGTATTTTGCATAGATCTACTCCAGTTCTGGTGACCACTCAAAATTTGACATATTCTTTCACTTTAAAGGTCACCAGGACAAATAGAGTGGGTGAATCTCCCTAAAGGGGCACAGACAGCAATAAATAAGCAGGACACTGGCTCCTGTAATGCTGGGACAAGTGTCCAACCCCTTGCTTGACCTGGCATCAGGACAAGATAAAGCTACGCAGAACATTGGCGGTTTTTGAGACAGGCTTCGGTGGAGGTGCAATTGGCCCACAGATATTGCCGATAAAAACGGCTTAGTTTGTTACCTACTGGGGCTTCTTGACTACAAAGCATATTTTTTACAAAGGTAATCTGCCCCTTTAAAGTAGCTGCCAGGTTTTATTGCTCTCTGTGTCCCCGTTAAGGAGATTTACCTTCCATATTTGTCCTGGTGACCTTAAAGTGAAAGAATATCTCACATTTTGAATGGTCACCAGAACTGGAATAGGTCTATCCAAAAAACTTCATCCAAGATAAAAAAAAGTTTTAGCTTCATTTCTACTTTAACTTTCTCTTTATGGTTGCTGTATCACCGATTATTGAAACTTCAAAGGCAGGTCTGAACCTGATTGGTGGCTGAGAGAAACGTATTCATATTGGATTTAAAAAAAAAAACAAAAACACTATCACCTTGCCTTTTCGAGGAACAGTAACAAAGTGACAGTGCAGAGGAGCTACTTCAACCCAATAAAACTTCCCTACTGCTCCTTTCTCCATCACAGCTGGCACTAACATACCCAGGGGAGCAGCAATGTTACTGTCCTAGCTGTCACAGAATTACGGCCTGGTGATTGATTGCCAGACTCAGTGTCACAGCAGGGGATTTGTCCATGAACGTTTGTAAGAATTGATGGAGGAATCTGTTCTATTTTTTTCATTCAGCCCACTGGTTGAATGAAAAAAAAATAGACCCATGTATACCCAGCTTAAGTTCACATTGGTGAAAAGGAGAAATATTAAGGAAATTAAAGTACAGTAAAGTCAAGCCTTAAAATAATGAATTCAAGGAAGAATTCAATATTTTGACCATGTGGATGTTGCTGGAAAACAACCCCAATAGAAAGCCTTTGCTCCTCAGTAGAGCTGGTGTGCCTGCTATCTCCCATTGGGAGCACAGGCAGCGAATATGTGATAGGAATTGGATTGTGTCATATAGTGCACTGTATATGTAATATCTAGGTGTGTAAAGGGGCAGGAGGAACCAGACACATCACTTTGGTGAGTTAAAGATAACTTTTATTTAACTTCAGTGAAATAGGAACAGCTTCTGCCAAAACAATCAAAACTTATTAAAGGAACAATAAGGTAACTCACTGCTATGTGAGCATTGCACAACTGAGTTTTGCAATCATGGATAAGAAAGGTACCCCAACTACCCAAATCATACAGGCAGGACATTTTACTAGCTAGGCTATATGAATTCCCCACTCCACTGCCTCCACCATGCAGATCCTGACACAAGCTGCACCACAAATTATACTGCACATTATCATGGTTGCTCTCCCCATGAAGCTTGTCTCATACTCAACCTTTCATAGGTAGTTATTCAGGTTTACCTCTTGCTGATACCTAAAAACCTAGGGCTCCTAAATCCCATGAGCCATTGCAAGATTCTCACAGCCACAGGCATGACTCCCAGAGACAGATGCATTATGCTGGAGGGCCGGAGGATCCTCACCCCTGCTAAAAAGGCTTGTTTCCAAACAAGAGGACCAGGCCCTTGTACTCCTCACTCCAATAAGAACAGGTTCCTATGATGCCAGGAATATGTCCTAAACACCCTGTAATCATGTGCAGGGCCAGATTTCCCACAACGCCTCCGAGGCCCGGCCTCGGGGCGGAAGGGAGCAGAGGGATGGCAGGGGTGTGGAATCTCCCGATGCCCAGACGGTGGGTGGGTAGTTGTTTTCTACATTTAGCCCTGCTTTGGGTGTATTGGGAGGGAGGGGAACGCATTGAGACAGCAGAGAGAGTTAATCCGGCCCTGATGTGCATCTGCAAAGGTGACCTGTTTACAAACACAGTAAGTAGATCTCCATTGGATGACTAGTGTGTATGGACTTCCACTTTTGTGTATTGTGTGTTATTGTGTGTTACATTTGTATCAGTCTGGAAGTCAGTCTGTATCCAGTAATAGTAATAGCTTCTTTGCTATGCTTGCACTTATCAGAGATAGGTTAGAGACTATTACAAGGAAATGATCAATGGACAGAATGCAACCAGAAATCATCTTTCACTTGTACAGATATGTCTGGAGTAAGATAATTGATTAGACTGTGGTTTTGACTTCATTACTGATCTTTGAACTTTTTTTTAAGGAGTTCTATAATCCTATAGGTCACTAAACATCCATTTGCAAATTATGTTAAATTAGATGTAACCGTAAGTGGATGACATTTGGCTTGCTAAATGCTTGTTTACCCCTTTTTTAATAATCCTTTTTTGTATTTTTGATTTCCAGTGCGCTCTTTTAGATATTCCATGTATACGTGTACCCTCTCCAGTATTGGCTGCACATCATTGCTCTGGAACGGTGTAATGATGGTGACAACTGTAGACCATGGCTGCACAATATGTGTCGGCTCGGCTGCTTGTAGTCTCTACCAGAGGAGCAAGTGAGAGGGTGGAAACCCAGGAGCACAATTGGGAGACATTTGTCACCCTATAATACCTGGTGATCCTGGCATGAAGGTGCATGTTCAGACACCTCGTCTGAACATGCACCTTTATGGCAGGATAACCAGATATTATTTAAATGAAAGCTAACAATTAAAAAACTTTGGGAATACATTTTGAATTTGAATTAACATGTTACAGTGTATATAAGATATTAGTAAATGGGTTTAGATCTACTTTAGGGGTATTTACTAGCATTCACAGATAAAAATCTGCAAGTTTCAGGGATTTGTTTGAACTACATATAGCAACAATGAAAGTTAATATTTTCCAGGCACAAATGACTTTAAGGGGAATTTATCAAAACTGGAGCAGACAAAATCTGGAGCAGCTGTGCACAGCAACCAATCAGCTTCTTTCTTTCATTTTCAAATCTAAGCTGAACAGACTAAAGAGAGAAGCTGATTGGTTGCCATGCACAGCTGCTCCAGATTTTGTTTCCTCAGTTTTGATAAATTCCCCTCTGTGTGTCCAGTAATCCCATAGAAGAATACACCCCACTGTAAAGGCACCTCTATCCTAAATAGGCCAACATATAAAAAATTGGCTGCACATCACAGTGCATGTATGTAAACCTTAACACAATTACCTTCAACCGTGAACTTCTTCTCTTTGCTCCCTTTTGGCCTGTTCAGTATAACATTGGAAGCATTTTGTTATCTTTGCTTGGTAAGTGCAAAAAAATACCTGTTAATCCTGCCAGAAATCCTGGGAGCCAATAACATACAGTGCTTTCTGTCTGTGCTGCATACTCATCAGTTACACTGTTCTCCATTTTCTCTGAGGACTACAGAACACTTCCACCTATATTATGGAGGAGGAGGAGTGGATGTCCCATAGTCCTGTGTATGTATAGCCAAAATGTTTTTATCTGATTTTAGTATTAGTTTTAGCATTATCTTATTTTCTGCTCTTTATCCTACTAGGGAGATTTCACTTCCTGTCTTTGAGAAAGGCAACAAGTGAAAATCCCCAAAATAAGGGGAAATCCAGACAGTTGTCACTGCAACATTTGTCCCCATTGGAAGATTTCCCCTCACCTCTCACAACTCAAACATTTAGTATCTCTACTTGCATTCGGTCTCAGTGACGACAAATAGAGAGGATTGCTTTCCCCTATGAGGGACACAAACAACATATAACATTTTGGCAGAGGCTCTAACCCTTCTTTACTCTAACCAAAACTAAAAAAAAAAAGTTTTGCCTTTACATACATTTTACCAATAGTTACTAATTACTTATTGGGTTATTGTCAAGGCCACAAAATTACAAAATTAAAAGAATTGGCCTCATGGGATTGTCACCCCCAATTTTCTTCATTTATTATTATTATTATACAGGATTTATATAGCGCCAACAGTTTGCACAGCCCGTTACAATATAAAGAAGACAATACAATCACAATACAATTCAAGACAAGATAGTAAGGAGCGCCCTGCCCCTGAGGGCTTACAATCTAAAAGGGAGGGGGAAGTGATACATGAGGAGGTAGCTGTGTGGGGATGAATTGCTTGAGAACATGAGGGTTGAGTGGTTAGTTTGCGGTGGGATAGGCTTCCCTGAAGAGATGAGGCTTAAGGGATCGCCTAAAGACAGTCAGAGTGGGAGACAGATGGACAGGTTGGGGTAAAGAGTTCCAGATGGGATGGGAGAGACTCTAGTGAAGTCCTGGAGGCAAGCATGAGAGGAGTTGACGAGGGAGCTGGAAAGCAGGAGGTCTTTGGAAGAGCGGAGGGGACCCTTAGGATGATACTTTGAGACAAGGTTTAAGATATAGCCGCGGCAGAGCTGTGGATAACTTTGTAAGTCATTGTTAATATTTTGAATTTTATCCTTTGGGCTATTGGAAGCCAGTGGAGGGATTGGCAGAGGGGGTTGCAGACACTGAGTTAGGTGAATGAGTCTAGCAGCTGCATTCATGA